CCGGCAGGATGAATATTGCTAGTAGCATGATATGCTCAGCCGTAATCTTAATCATAACATTTTCCGAGGCTTACTGTTCGGACATGTCCCTGAATGTTCTGTATGTTTTTAGATACACACCACTAATCAACAGCCACACACTTTAATTTTCTCCATGTTTTGACTACTGCTCTGGTCAGCTGCCAAGCTGGCATATCAGGTGACGTCACGGTTTGACGTTGCCTGTGTAGGATGGGGCTAGCCCAACCAAGTGATTAAATTGTATAGGCTATTAGGTTCGGGGCTTTTTCCATCTTCCGGGCTGCCTGCGCGCAGTACTGGAGGTGGAAGATGCCTGGACGTGTAATGTTAATTCTTGCCTGTGACCTTTTGAATAAACCAGCGCGGTTATATTTTTTATATATCCAAGTGGTCTGCGTCGTCTCTGAGTTCCTGGTTGAAAGAACTGGGTAATATCTTTCAATTCAAAGACAGGTAACGACTCTCATCGATACTGGGCTATAACGACTCAAGTCATTAGGGCATATTGTTGGCCCTCAAAGGACTGAAACACCACCGAGGGGGATAAATATCTCCGGCTCAACACCAGTCAGTCAGAACTGATGAAGCCTCTTGGATGAGAGGTGAAACGTCTTCGACCTAGAAATCTAGTCCAGTTGATTTTTTTTTTCAGCTTACAATGACCTGGATGACTGAGAATCTGCACAGACATATAAATCCTGAGACTTGTAGGCAGAAATTCCGCTCCCTGGAGGTGAATCTTGATGAAAGCCCCAAAGAATTGTATGCAAGGCTTAAGGAACTATACGGGAAGTGGATCCAGCCAAATGGTAAAACTATACAACAGATTGGTGAAACAATTATTTTAGAACAATACTTGAGAAGGATGTGTCCAGAGTTACAGGTGTGGATTAAGGAGCATGACCCAGAATCTGTGGCAGAAGCAGCCGCACTGGCTGAGGTGTTTGTGGCTGCTTGGAAGAAGAATAAACCATGGAGTTATATTGCCTGGAAATCTACTAAAGACATTCGTAATTTGACTGTTCTTCAACTCCATCATAAGCACGAGTGGGGAGATTTTTCTGGTGAGGGAGAACCAACCAGTATAATTACCTTTAAAACAGCATGGTAAACTGCCAATTTGTTACTTTTGTGGGCAAAAAGGGCACACTAAGCCAGTTTGTCCAAAAAAACCTGAAAAACTAACTCAAACTAGAGCTCAAGCTAGGCAGGCCAACATTCACAAACCCTCAGTGCCCTGCCTTTTTTTGGATGCTGATCTGGAGACTGCACCCGGGAAGTCACGGAAATCACGCAGGCAGAGAAAGCAGGAAAAATTCAAACGCACTGTTGTTCAATCGACAGTAGATCCTACACCTGATGCATATGTGGGTTTTAAGATTACTAGCAGCATGGCTGACATGCAGCACAAGGATCCACATCTAGTTTCATTGTTACAGAGAGCACAAGAGAGGGAATTGGGCACTGAGCCTGACTTTGGTATGACTGAGGAGTTTTTCCTTCAGAAGGGAGTGCTTTATTGCCAGCATGGAGCAGTCAAGCAGCTAGTTGTGCCTCAGTCTGTTCGGGATGTTGTGCTTACTTTGGGTCACTCTATCCCTTGGGCCGGCCACTCATGGCTGAGGCCCAGTGGTACCAGAAGTAGGGGTGTTCCGATTGATCGGTTGCCAATCATAATCGTCCGATAATTGCTTTGGGAAGTTTGATCGGCTGTCTCTATAATGGCCGATATAGAAAAGCCAATCAGATGACGCAAAACTCGCAAGACAAGTTTTTTGCACGCTGCTAAAATAGCTTCTCCAGTTTGGCAATTGCCCCAAGCAATCTGCAACCTGTGTAACAAGCAAATTCCACGAGGCGGGAAAGCACCTAAAGCATTTTAACACCACAAACCTCATCAGACATTTAAAGGTTAGTCACGTAAAGGAACATGAGCAGTTTTCAAAGTTAAGCGCTAAGAGAGAGTGGGAGAGTTCAGCAACTCGCGTGACAGTCACTCAGCTGTCAGTAACAGATGTTTCAAAGACAGCAACCCTACTGCAAGGACAGTAAGAAGCATAAAGAAATAAACAAAATAATGGAATTCATATGCCTAGATCATCAGCCGCTGTATATTGTGGAAAATGAATTGTTAGGGCTTTTTGGCAGAACAATAAAAGCCGCTTTCCTGCTCTCGCACAAGCAGCACAAACCTACCTCTCTGCCCCATGCACAAGTGTTGATAGTGAGCGACTTTTTAGCACAGCAGGAAATATCGTGGATGAGAAGCGCAACAAGCTGTCAGCCAAAAATGCGGAGATGCTTATATTTATAAAGAAAAATCTGCCCTTGATGCAAGAAGTAAGCTACTAATCTACATTCTCTACATCACTGTTGCTCTCTCTACCTCTCTACATGCCCACAAAATCTGACTGAGCTTCTGAGAAAAAAAGTAACTACTTTAGAATTTATTATTGATTCATGATGCAGAAGCCATCATGATAGTGCAGTTGTGGTTTTGTTAGTTAACTGCCTTTCTTCTTGACATCCCAAGAGATGTGAACTTGCAATGGCTTGTTAGTCCTGCCCTGAGAATAGAGTTAAAGTTGTAGTTGATAGAAACGGATACAGATATGGAGATGCAATTTTTTGTTATTTGTATTTTTTTATTTATTTTTGTTGTGTAATTATTAGCTGTGGTCCTTAAAGTAAATTAGGAAAAATGAGGGCTGACTTGAAAAAGTGACTTGAAACACAATTTTGACTATAGCTTTTTTTGTTGCAGTTTTTAGTTAAGTTTTAAGTTAAAGTACTCTAAAGCTAATGTCAAAGACTTTGTTCTGTTATTTTTTTTATTTTTACATAATCAACAGGAAAGTTGTATTTGTCAAGCTCCAAGCTGTTCCCAGTTGCTAACCAAGGCAAGCACAGGCTGCTATGTTTTAAGTTGAAGTGTTGCACATGTTTCTTGCCAATAAATGCAGTTGTCAATTCATGATATTCCTCTTCTTGTAATTTCAATACTTAATTTACATTGTTGTTAAATATAGTTTAATAAATAATGATACATGATAAGGCTTCAAGTAGACCCTGTAATCGGTGATCGGTATCGGACGATACAGCTTCTATTGATCGGAGATTGGTGATCGGCCCCAAAAATCCTGATCTGAGCACCCCTAACCAGAAGACATCCTATGATCGGTCAGCCCAACAGAGGACTTTTGA